AAGCTGAAATGCAAATCATTGATAACCCTGCAGCTATATTTACCATTATGTGACTAGCTACATCGTTGGATTTTTCACTATCCGAGGAAAATTTTTTAATAGTTTTATTGAAATGTTATTATTCTTGTTGAAATAGCGAAGGATCGAGGGAAATGTTTTAATATTTCCCTTATTAGATGCATCTATTAGAATTGCATATGGATGCCCATCTTTCAAATCAATTGACCTCTAGGATCCAGGTACTAAAACACTTGTGATAGCCTTGCTCATTTTTGTTCTGCCACAAGTAAGGTTTGCACTTATGGAGTCGTTAAAAGATTTGACCCACATTGTGATGATATAGCTCTGTGAATGTTAAACTACATGATAGATGTATACGATTTCCGATGTAGTTGCATCTGTATTATTTATTATTTTTGAGAATATTTTTGTATTGCAATCGATGTTAATATACTCCCCTGTACTGACTTATATGAATGAAATGATACTGATTTATTATTGGATAAAAATAAAACAGCAAAGAAATTTAAAATTTATTTTAAATATATAAAAATAAAAAAGGATAGAAAGAAATTTACAAACTAGACATGTTTTTCGAATAAATATTTAAAATTTATTTTAAATATATAAAAATAATCAATTAATGTCTATCAAAATCATTATTTATATATTAAAAACGTTGAAATACTTTTTAAAAAAATTGCAGGAGAAATTAAAAAATTGCGGTAGATTTTTGCGGGAGATTTCCAATTGCGGTAGTTTTGCGGGAGAGAGATGTCTGCGTGTAAACTAAAAAATTACGGGAGTCTCCTGATTGGGGGAGGCATGGCAACCCTGTTTCTGGGTCATGATATTGACGCCAAGGGCATTCATGCTAATCACGACAAAATTGAAGCAATAATTAAAATGCCAGAACCAAAATCAGCTGCTGAATTATCAACATTTCTGGGAATAGCTGGCTACTATAGAAAATTTTTTGAACAATTTTGCAGAAATAGCTTATCCTCTATATAAAATCATCAACAAATAAAAATGGGCTTGAAACTTAGAACACTCTAGAAGTTTTAATGATCTTAAGAAGTTGATTATTCCTCCTGCCTTGACCTATATTTACCCTGAATTACCTATAGGAATTGCCACTGAAGCATCTAAATGTGGTTTAGGAGCTGTATTGTTCCATACTGAAAAAGAGGGCAAAGAAAAGCCAATAGGTTTTGCGTCGAGAACTTTATTAAAATCCGAAACGAACTATACCAATATTGAGCGTGAGGCACTCGCTATTACGTTCTATAAAGAGGTTCCAGGAATACTTAATCGGCACAAAATTTAAAATTATTACTGACCATAAACCTCTTGTTCACATTTTTACCAAAGGTCTTAAGGAAAATAGTACTATGTCCTTAGACTACAGAAGTGGAATATAACCTTAGGAGGATATGATTTTAATATAAAGTATAAATCCGGTAAATATAATGTTGTCCCTGATTGTCTCACGAGATTACCATAAGAATGTCACGATGAAGTTGTTGAAAATATCACAATAATAAATGACTTTGGGGATTTATCTATCAATTTTAATAAAATAAGTGATGAAACTTTCAAAAATATTGAATTAAAACAAGTCATCAATGTTATTAAGGACAACGTGCCTATAAAGAACAATATATATAAAAACATTGAATTGGAATTAAGTATAATTAATTAAGGATTGTCTTTACAAAAGCAACAAAATCATAATTCCATCTTCTATGATAAAAAATGTACAACCGTAATTAGATGAAGGTCACTTGGGAGCAGGAAAAATCAAATCCTTAGCCAAAGATTACATGTGGTGGTCTGGTATAAATAATGACATAGACGTGGAAGTAAAAAGTTGTGATGATTGTAACATATATCATGACAATCCTAAAAAGATACAAAAACCTTGGGTTTCGGCAACCAAACCATTTGCAAGGATAAACATAGATTATGCGGGTCCGTTTTTCACAAGAATTTGGTTGATAAAGGTCGATGCCTTTAGCAAATTTCCAATTATTGTTCTTGTTAAAAATATTACGACCGATATTACTTTAAAAGAAATTTGCAAAACTATTTCGCTATATGGAATTCCTTAAACTATAGTTACTGAAAACGGCACTAACTTCACAAGTAATGATTTTGGAAAATTTTGCAATGATTATGGTATCAAACATGTGCTCACGTCCGCATATCACCAGCAATCCAATGGCCAGGTAGAACGCATGGTGAGAACGTTCATAACATATATGAAAAGGAATATCAAAATTGACTTATATATTGCACTTGACAAATTTTTATTTAATTACAGAAACACGTATAATGACACTACAGGAGTTACACCTTCCAAGAGAATGTTCAATCGAGATATTAGATTTAAATGGGACTTATTAAAACCGTTGGAAGAGAAAACAAAATCAACGTTACTTTACCACGAAATAGAACCTTTAACGTATGAGATTTTGTTTGGTACAAAGTACAAGGTGATGACAAATGGTGTAAAGGCATGGTCACACACAAAGAAAGTGACATGATGTTCCAAATTAAGACAAATAACGGTATTTTGAGGAGACACTTAGATCAATTCATAATAAGAAATTGTTTTAACACACTTATTAATTATGACTCTAATTCTAAGGACTCTATTAAGGAGGGAAGTGTGGACAAAATATAAAAACTACTGATAAAAATAATGTAACACCGATTTCTAGACCAATGCGAATTAAACAAAAACATGCTTATTTAAAAGATTACATAACTTAAAATATAAAAATAAATTAAATATTAAAACGCATAAAGTAAATTAAATTCTAAAACGCTTATTAAAACGCTAAAAATATTATATAACAATATTATTGATTTATCATTCTTCTTGTATTCTTATATCCAACTTGATGAATTATAATTTCTAATTATTCGTGACTGACTGATGATAATAACAATTTTGAAAATTGATAATAATAATGACTTAGTACTACAAGCAAGCTACATGATAAAATCATGATATATGAAGACAACTTACGATAAGGATATCAAGCTTACGAAAACAAACCAACGTGCAAACTCGATTTAAACAAACCAACGATTGGGACAAGCCAACGATTACGATGACTTATGAAACAACTTGATAACTAAAATGATAAACTTTTGGAAAGACTAACTTTCTATGCCAGCTTAAAAGATTTTATGGGAAGATTTTTTAGAAGAAGGAGAATGTTGAATAATGATTATTCTTAATTTTATTTTGTAACTAGTTCATTTAATATGTACTTTTTATTTTATTTCGCCTTGATTATTTTGTAAGTTAACTTTTGAAAAAATACTTATTTAACTAGTTCTTTTAATATGTACTTTTTATTTTATTTCGCCTTGATTGTTAACTTTTTGTAAGTTAGTTTTTTTATATTCTAATTTTTGTATAAAAAAAAATATATATATGTTGTAATTGTTTGAAAAAAAGAATATCTAAAATAAAAATATTATTTTTACAGGTACTAAATATGCTTTATATTAAAATTTAGGAGAAAAAGTGGTAAAATTGTTGCAATGTAACCCGTGAGCATGTATTAGAAATATCAAATTTAAATTTGTGATAGGAATCATATTGGGTAAAATTAAAAATAGAGATGCTTTAAGATTTTTGAATTTTAAATATGAAAATTAATAAATTTTACTTTGATTGAATATAAATTAGATATATGCAAAGTTAGGCTCGGGCCTAATTCTATTTAAAATAATCGGGTTCGGGCCGGGCCTAATATTTTTAAAAAAATTTCGGGCCGGATCGGGTCGGACCTTGGAAATTTTATTAAATATATCTAAATTTATCAATTTTATGTTGAATTTTTTATGTAAAATAAAATTTTTGATTTCATTTATCGAAACTAAACGCTATATAACATATGTCTTTTATTTTAAGTAATTATAAAAATTAATTTCTATATTTAAATTCCGGGCCGGCCATTTTTTTTAAAATAAATTTCGGGTTCGGGCCGGGTCGGCAAAATTTTTTTAAAAAAAATTTCGGGCGGGGCCGGGCTTGAAAAATTAGGCCCGATGCAGATCACTTATATAAATACTTATGCTAAAATTAATATGAGATAAATGTTTATTTTTCAATTGGCTAAATATAATTTATTGTTATTTTAAATTTAATAATATTCATTCTTACCATAATTTGAGGTGAGGTTAGTATTCTTTTTAAAATAACACAATAAGATCTAAATTATATAAATTAATTAAAAAATATGTTAATAGCAAAATAACATATATAAGAAAGATTATATTATAAAATATAATATAGATGGTGGCTGAGTGGAAGAAGGTTTGCCTTTAAATCGTGAAGTCATTGTTTCGAATCCCGTGATGTACAAAAAATTTTATTAAAATTTAACATTAGAGATATATAGTCTTCATCGATTTATTTAGCATTAAGCGGATAGGAAAGTTGATAGAAAAAATAAAAATTAACATTAAGATGATAGGAAAAATAAAAATTAACATTAAGATTTTACGAAAACGTTCATTTCTTGATTGCGGTGATTATATATATAGATTCATCATTGAATTCACACGCGAATGACATAGCATCCAATATTAAAAGAAATTTTACAATTAAGTCGATTTTCATAGTTAGAAATATGATCGAAGTTTAAATTTTTTTTTTTACCCCGTCCTAGCTTGCTGGAATTTTCTCTCCGAATTTGGGGTTTGATGATATTTAAGCAAATTGATTACTAATTCTAGTATACATCATCTTGGACAGACAAATTTGAATAAAACTAATTCCTAAATTTAGGCGAAAAATTTATAGCTAATTTCAGGGGACGGGGTATAAATTCTAAAAAATGGTTTTTAATAATAAAGTAAATGTTTTTAATAAACAAGAAATTTATTTTGAAAAATTCGATGTTTATCACATCTTGGATTTTTTTTTTATGGGAACACTATCTTATTAATTTAATACTAGTTTTTTTTATATATACCCGGATATATGATTTTCTCTTAAATTGAGGATCATGATGGAGATCATTTCGTTAAATATCGAACCTTCGATCTTTTTAAAAATTTATTTTTTTTATTTAAAATGTATATAACAAAAATAAAAAAAATTATTTAATAAAATATTATTTTTAAAAGAAAATCCACCTCCATTCTATTTTAGCATTATCCGCAATATTTTAAATTTTTCTCATATACTTAATCAAGACAACATTTACGAATTTGATTTACAACCTACAAGTTTTATTTATTCAATTAAAAATTAAATAAATTATATTCAGTTATTTACTAATTCAATTATAGATCCTGAAGAAAATACACATAGGGTTATTGAAGTGGCAGACATAAATGTGAACCTTTTGACTTTTCCTGAGCTCCTTATAATTATGTTAATTATCATTTCTTAAAATTTATATTTACTGTGTAAGGACAGTAGCATATTAGCAGCAATAATTAATCCAAAATTTATGCTTAATTGACTTTGTATCAATCTGGCACAAAATCTGTTAGTATAAAAAAAGGTTAATTACCCATTTGGAAAACCTGCAGGATCAATCACATGGATGCTTATTCAAATGTTTGTACAAATAAAACAGATACTTTCATTGGGGCAAAATCTTCGCCAAAAGTATTTCCCTTAATAATGTTTTTTATTCAAATGATGATTCGATTAACATTTTGAATATTGATATAAATAGAAAAAATATAACACCTTAGCCATTACTGAGCTAAATATGTCCTTAGTGGAAGACGTGGATGTTTGAATGTAATAATTTAGAAATTTTTATTATTTAAAGGCTAATTTTGATTATAAATAAATATATTAATATTGTTAATTCCATTACAATAAATTTGATTTGCACTTTCTGACACCAAAATAAGGAAGATAAATACTCTAATCGTTTTATCTACAAATGGCCATTTTATCCTTTAACATATAAATTTTTAAAACATCTTAGCATAAAAATCAGACTTTAATAAATAAAACGAGAGCATTTCTCTTCTATGTCGAATGCAGATAGAAAAATCTTGGTAATTAACAGATTAAGGTTATTAGTATCAATAATCACCCAAAAATCGGCAAAAAAATTTGAGATGAATTACTCTTGAATTTAAAATTATTTTCAAATATAGTTTAAATAAAATATATTTAGTATAAATAGCATAATAATTTCATCAAAAATGACTGAAACATCTCGAAAATTTAAAAAATTCCGACAAAAATCGGTACCAATTTACACTAAATTTATAATAGATATTAATATTCAAAGGATATCATCATACTCATATGCCATGCTATTTTTAGAAAAATTATAAAGAAAATATTAAATTATACATTTGTTTTACATAATTTTGAATCCACAAATTTTGAAAGACCGCCTAAATAGAAAACTTGTTTTTTTGAGCCAAAAATAGTTCGTGGTTTTCTATAAAATTAATTATAACTTTTCTTTTATAATGTTAGTTTCATCTATTAAATCACAAGAATACCAGCATAATACTGTTATATTTAATCATTAAATATTTATGCCAATATTCCTGAAACTTTCATAGGAATTTTTCGCTATTAAGTTGTTATGAATCATTGAACCTATCCTAATATATATCAATAAGTTTTCCTTAATTGTTAATTCTTATCATATTTTTCTTTTTAGATAGAGTATAAAATACAGATTGTAATAAAATATTCAAATTTAAAAAAACTTGTTTATTTCTCATTCCATTATCCATAGAAAATTTTTATTTTTGGTGTATAATAAACATATGTATTATTATATAATATCCTAAATACAAAATAAAATTATAATTACGAAAATGGCAATGGAGTTACAAAAGTTAAGTTATGATGACCTTGGCAATGTTTAAAAGTTACAAAGTATATATATCAAAAATAGTAGTAATTCTAATTATGATTAATAAAAATGAAGGCTATCCTAATTTCATTAAAACAATGTTAATATAGGAGCACGTATATGTATCAGTGATATAGAATATATTTATGTAATGGGTTTGGTTTATAAAATCAATTCATGTATTTTTTAAACTTTACTAATACATTAAAAATGATTTCAAATATTAATATAAAACATTGAGTTTATTTTTATAAATCTGTTCATTAAACCTAGAATGATTTATCCAAAATAATATTTTATAAAATTATTTATTTAAAAAATTAACTCCTGCTTCAATGTAATATAGAATTATATAGTATAAAAAGAATGGCAGGACTAGGGCTCCGTGGGACTTATTTAACAGATGCCCCAAACCTCTTTGGCTCGCTTCGTGTAAGCTTATTTATTATAAATGTATATACAAATTAAAATAGGCATTAATCACATATAGAAATATATCGGTATATAATTTCTTAACATTTGTTCACTAAATTCAGAGATACCATAAATATTATATATAATAAAAATCTACAGATATGGATACAACCTTTGGCTAACAAATTTCTTATTGAATTATATGTTTTTTTAGTTAAATAGTGTCCTTTTTCAAACACATTGACTTTTTTTATAAATAGTGTCTTCCTCTTGTTTATTTAGCATTGAAAAGGAACAATGTTTAAAAGGGGACATTATATGTTTGAAAAAAGATACTATGTATTTGAAAAAAGACAATATTTAACTAAAAAAGCTATATAATATAAATTTATAATAAAAAGTTATATGATACATGTTATCAGCAATGTGCATAATCAGGTAATATATTATTGAATTGTATGAAATTTATAAAGTAGGTATTTTACCTAAGCTGAAACATATGAGATTTTCATTTTAAAAAATCTCTAAATAAAGGGTTTAAAGTAAAAAAATAGTAAAATAATTTGTTGAATACATTATTAAATTTGAAGTTCTGATTTGCTAAAAATTATTTCCAGTATATCATATAATTTCAGACAAAATTTATTCATAAAATTTTAAGTTATTTTTAGTTTATATACTAAAATAACACCGATTTAAGTGAAATATTAACTGCACTGACATTAAGCACATTGCTGCTAAATAGTTATATTCAACAAATTTCGAATGAAAAAATTCAATTGCGAATGCAAAGAATTAAAGTATTTATTGTAAACAAAATGTCTTGTATCTAATAATTTTCCTGATCATTAAAATAAAACCATTCAAAAAGCAAAATAATAACTCAAAGATTAATCTATATTATAAATTCTTGGCATTTTGAACTAGCTTCTCTCAAAATTTATCAAGAATAATCTGGCACAATATTACGAGATATTTTGGAAAGAAAAAGCGATACATTTTGAGAATATTTAACCTTTTTATTCATCAAACAACACATTCAGAAAAATTAAAATTATCAAAAACTTTTAAATTTACGACACGTTTTGAATATTTTTCTATCATATAATATTTTTTTATGCGAGGTCCTATTGTGATTTTGCATTGAAATATAAGTACTATCTTTTAAATGTAATTTACCTGAAATCTGATCATTTTTTAAAATATTGACCTTAACTATTTTTTGAATATATCATGTAATTTTATAAGTTATATTTTTAAAAAATAAACATTTGTAAAATGTACTAAATTTAAAACAAAATTAAGAGTAATATCTTACAGTGTTACCCCCTTGATCCTAATTCTGCTATCGAATAATTATCACAAATTTTTTCCTTCATATTGTAAATTTTCTACTAGCTATATCTTAATTTTATAACAAAAAAGGTTAAATATTTTCATTTTTGTTTGTTTGTAATAAAAAAATCTAAAATTAAAAATTAATGGCTCATTGTTTTTATTTAATTATATTTTTCTTTTATAATAACATTCCATTTTTATTATAATGCCTATGAGATTTTGTTTTAATTTATTCAAGATAACATTCAAGAAATTTTTTGTGACTAAAAATCTAAGTATAAAAATAACCTACTATAAGCATGTTTACAGAATTAGCCAGCTCAAGTTAATTGCTATGCACTTATATGATGAATTATTTTTTTTAAAAAATGGATTAATTTAATTTATATCTTATATTCCATCTAAAATTTCCATATGAATGAACGCCAAATCAAATCTAACATTGGGGTATTTCGTGATATTATTTATCAGATAGAATAACGAGTTTTACCAAAAGATTTTCAAAAAATCAATTAGAATGAATGCTCAATATTTCTATCTCATAGGGTTTTTTGAATTTAAGGCTTGCTATGTTTACATGAGATGTTTTGTCTCTATTTATGCCTATCCAATTTTTCTTTGCATTAGAATGTATCAACCAACATTCAACATATTTAATTATTAGAGTATTTTATGCAATTTTTCAAAAAAATGATATTGGTTTAATTGACATTAGTGATCTGCATCGGGAGTAATTCCCCCCCCCCGACCCGAAATTTTTTTTAAAAAAGTTTGTTTCACCCGGTCCAATCCCGAAAGAATTTTTTTTTATTTGTCTCGAAATACCCGACCTGAAATGACAATTATTTTTCCGCTCAAACCGAATTTTCAAATATAGAAAAATTTAATTAATTTTTTAATGTTAAATAAAAAATATTATATTAGTGCCTTATTTCTTATAAGAATTTTTAAATATATCAATTTATTTGACAAAATATAATGATATCATATTAAATTATTTAAACCCTACCCGGCCAGGCCTGAAATTTTTTTAAAAATATAATGCTCGACACAGCGAACCGTAATTATTTTTTTTTATATAACCTAAAACTTGGTACGGGCTGGTTTCGTTATTTTTTAGACATAGTTGACATCATGATAATCGTATAATGTATATTAGAGCTAAAAGATGTTATGTCAAACATTGATGAGGAATTTTATATATTATTTGAAACATTGATGAGAAATTTTAATATTATTTGATTGTTCACTCCAAGTCAAAGCAAATCTTTATGAATTATAATATAGTTCACTTCCCATATATTAAGGTTACCTCGTTTTCACCGAAAAGCGGCTAAGCTCAAAATTTTGCCAAAAGAAGGCCATACCTTTCAGTCAACCTATACCGCAATCTTGAGGCTTATTTATTTAGCAGCTATTTAAAAATCGGCTAAATCAAAGTTTTTAATGATATCACCCTTTTGTATGATTTTAAGTTAAATAAATGAAAGGTTATTTTATATTAGGACCACTATATCCTTTAGCACTTGCAAAAATTAAAGAACGTTTTCTTCTTTAAAAAGGAAAAAACCATATAAAATAAGTTGACACCAAATAGATATATATTTTTTTTAAATGCTCAAACACAAAAGATTGCATACATTTTTTTGTAGATATGTTTCCGGTTTAAGTGTAAATTTCTAAACAATATTTTTTGCATTAATCTATAATATTTAAATTTTCTCTGTCAGGTCCGTCCCAGACTAATTTTGAAAAATAATTTTAGGCTCAGACTGGATAGAGCCTAATATTTTGAAAAAAAATTGGGTCAGGTCGGGCTTAAATTTTTCACTCAATTTTGAGGAATAAATTGATATATTTTAAAATTCTTACAAGAAACAAGGCGCCAATATTTTATATTTCTATATTAAAATAAAAACGGGCCGGGTAGACAAATAATTTTTATTATATTTCGGGTTGGGCTTTTTGGGGGAAATTTAAAATAAATTTCGTTCAAAGCCGGGTCAGACAAATTTTTTTTTTAAATTTTGGGCCGGGTTTAAAAGATTGGGCCTGTGGACCCCGAAGTTTTCTTTGTCTACATTTATGCATTTAAAATATGCAATATTTCATATGATCGTTCATATAAGTAATTTTTTATAAATATTTTATATAAATAAATTTAACTTGATAAATTGTGAAAAACAAGTTTTGTTTCACTCTATGGACAAAAAACAAAGATTAAAGATTACTTGGATCGTATGCCGTTTTTTAAAACCTATAAAGTACATACACAAAGAATAAAATATTTGCTATTTAATTTTAATTATCAAGTTTTTTAAAAATATGTCTGAATTAAACCAATTTATTCAGAATGATCTTTTCAAGTGGAAACGTCAGTCTCAGTATCACCATATTTCACCCAACAAAGAAAATAATATTTATGCAATTAATCTTTACAATATTACAATTATATCCCAACCTAATCATCGTTTTCAGAATACAGATTCATCAAGGCAGCTTAGAGTTGATTATAATTTTTAATTACATTTTTCCAACTTTAGAAAAATATTAAATGATATAATTGATCTTTAAATTTTTAACAAAAATAATTAGATATACAATTAAGACCAAAACTCCTTCATTAAAACCAGGCATTAATAAACATAAGACATTAAATATTGTTATTGCATATCTATTTATTTTTCTCTTCACAATATTATTATATATATGGTGAATTTCATATCAAATCAATCAAGGTTTCAACCCGACCCCCTTCAATTTTTCTTAAATTTTGTATACTGGTAGTATATAGTATATACTATAACTAAGAAAAAAATAAAATTTTACCTTCCAACACTGTTTACCCGCTGAGATATGGCCGTTTAAAGCGTGGAAAAATGGTACATTTTTGACAAAATGCACTTCATTTATTTTCAAATATCTCGAGTATTAATTAAGTTAGAAAAATAATTTAAATTTTATTTTGTAGCTTAATAAAAGTTCTTTAAAATGACATAAAAATAAATATTATGGACATTTTATTAATATCAAAAACCGGATGTGTAAAACCGGAAATGGCCATAGAAAAAAAAAGGTATTTTTTTTTAAATTTTTTTTCTTTAGATAGATATTACACTGCTTTATATTTGTACAAAATCCTAGATTGGGATGAACATGGGTTTAGGAGTTATCACTCTTTATATGGCTAAAATTGAACAAATCTAACATTAATATCATCATATTTTAATTTAATGAATAGTTATGAAATAATGTTAATTTAGTCTAAATAATAGGCCCTTTCTTTTTTTCATCTTTATCTAAATTTTTGAGAAGTGGCTGGAATAATCAGCTTTGTTTAACACTTTAGTTAAATTTTGTCTAGAAGTTACTTGAAAATAATTCTAAACATATTTATAACTTTATTTGGTATTACATATAATAATCAAAAATTTATAATTAAAATATATCATATATTATAATCATCCAAGGAATTTTAATAAATTATGACTTTAGTTTTCGTCTAGGGGAATAAAAGCTTGGAATTTTGTGTTCCAGATATTCTTTTTGCTCTCAAAAATCTGCTTTCAAGATGACTTTCAATTTACTCCTTTGATATTATTTCTTGTATAGTTAAATAAATCTATTGTTGTCAATTTGTGATTTTCATATGGAAGTTGCAAGCTTGCTCGAGCTGCTAACCGTTTAGTAACGGCCCCCAAAATGTCGCATGGATTTTTACCTTGTGCGGTTTCAAAAAATGTCACTCAGCCTTTATCCCAAAATTATTTTCATGATTGTAGAGATTAATGAAATCTTTTATTTTTATATTGGTTACTGCTCCATCAGAAAAATAATAAATTTTAGCCACTCTATTAAATCCTTCCTTCAAGAATACGATCAATTTTTAAAATAAATTGTGCTTTAAACAATCTGATATAACCACTAAATTTACATGTTTTATTATGTTGTTCTCACAGTAATAAATTATAAGAGTAGTGGCTTGATTATTGGTCTGATTTAATCCTTGTGCATGGTTCTCCACTACAAATGCATAATTTTCTGAAAAGCCTGCAATAACTAAGAATTCGCTAACATTTAAATTGAATTTTAAAAAGTTTCGAATTAATGATTATCGTGAAGCTATAAACAAATGAGGAATTAAATTGTCAATTATTTAATTAAATAATCTACAAATTCGTCAGCGGATTTTGTCAGTGTTTCGAGGGTAGTTCAATCAACGGCTATCATTGTTTGAATGTTTTATAATCTATAGAATTCTCGTCAAATAATATATTAAGCCTTAATTTTAATTTTGAATATATGGGGGAAAATTTATTGTTGAATTTCAATTTTGGTAGATTATTTTATGCTAAATAAAATATTTAAAATAATTTTGTCAAGTAATTTTAATTTCGAGATAAAATTTAACTTAAGTTTTAAACAGCTCATTACCAGCAGTGTTGTTAAACGCTACTTTTAAAAGTAGCGCGCTATCGCTACCGCTATCGCTACCGCTATCGTTTTCAAATGAGTAGCGCGCTATTAGCTACTTTTTTTAAAAAAGTAGCTAAAGCTACTTTTTACGCGACTTTGATTTTTTTTTTAATATTTTTTTTTACATAACTTTATTTCCACAAATAAAATATTGATATAAAAACATGACTATAATTTGTTACATATATATATATATAATTTATTTATTATTGCACTTTAATAATAATAACATTTCGGTACTGTCATCCCCAAGTCTAGAGCGACAATCAGAAAGTATAAGCTTTGCCATACTAAATAATCGTTCAGCACTAGCACTTGAGGGCAACGCAGTATTAAATTTAATAAACAAACTTTTTATATGAAAAAAATCATCAAAAATATTTAAATTAGTATTTTTAGATTTAAAAAAAGCATCTAGAGGTTAATTAAAAATACTTCAGTATATTCTTTAATAAAAGTATGCTCCTCCACATTAAAATACTGTATTCCCATTTGATCCAATATATAATTCATTTCCATTTTTTTCTCATCTAGAAACAATGCTAAAAGTTTCATAGCATTGTAAACACTATTCCATCTTGTAGTGTTTGGTGTCAATAAATAACGTCCTAATTTTTTTTTGAAAATATCAGACGTCTTTGATGACTTATTTTGTTT